ATACCACAAAGGGCGGTGATCTCTTTTTTCTCTCCATATATGGTCAGTCACGCCTGCTTTTTCCACTTCCCCTCGTGTTAAAGCTTTGTGGTATTCTTGAAGTATTACCTTCAGGGGGTGGGGACTGTCTCCCCTTTATATTTCTTTCCTTTCCTTATATAAATATATATATATATATATATATATATATATATATATATATATATATATATAATTTTGCTCTTTAATGAAAATAAACATTAAGCGCTCTTTGTGTGTCAGATTTAACATATTTCAAATTCTATAGTTTACTAATAGGACTTACCTGGATTATACCAATGAATTACTAATTGTATATATATATATATATATATATATATATATATATATATATATATATATATATTATTTATCATATACCCACCGCGCCGGAATCTACAATACCCACATTTCAGGACAGTGCAGTGGATTCGGAAAGAGTTGGATAATATATCCATCAACATCATGGTGTTTGGAGTGATCACTAGTGATGGCCTTGAGGAGGTAGTGCTGTCCTGGTCAAGAGGGTGGCTGCTGGAAGACCCTACGTTTGGCAACAGGACTCTGCACTATGCCACACAAGCAAGAGAATCCAATCACGGCTGTCATACAACTACTGCGACCACATCACCACTTACATATGACCACCTACCTCTCCAGACTGCAACTTCTTTGATTATTATGCGTGAGGGGCAGTTGAGCGAGAGATCAACAAAACCCCTTTTAACAGCAAAGATGAACTGGGGGATTATGACAAAATTTAGCTTGTTGTTGAAGTCATTGGCAATTTTATTGACTAAATTTACTCTTTATTATTTCAAGATATTTTTGTGTAATTTTGGTAAATATATCTGTTACAGTATGTCAATGTTTTTTTAATTTTTTCATAATTTATACCACAATTTATTCATTCTACCATATATATATATATATATATATATATATATATATATATATATATATATATATATATATTCAACCTTTTATCGTTTTCCTTGTGTGGTCTGATATTTCCGCTACAATAACTAAATCCAGCCTGTTGGCCTAGATTGAGTGATCCCTTTGAATTTCCAAAGAACTTTGCTTTTGATATACTTTAAAACAACTCTATGTTAACGCTTAAACCTTGATATAGGCTGGATATAATCAAACTTTCTTCTAATCTTCAGTTCATCTTTTCCTTTCGCTAAAGCCATTCGACAAGACTTCAGGTACTCCAAATACGAAAGGCTCGACAGCGTCTTCATGTTTTTAGGCGAGGACCTGTTTTCTAAGACTTTTGTTTTTTTTTATTCGCTAATACAGCTGGATATAATATGTTAAAATGTATTTTCTCCTTTCTTCGAACTAATGAATTACAGTTTTCATTTTTGTGTGTTATGTTAGTTTTGAGTCCCAGAGTCGTTTACTATTTTTATATTCCAAAACAACCACTGGTCTGTGCTAATACCATTGCCATAATCGAACCCAAGTTATGTGCATAATTCTAAATCTGTTGTGTCTATTTCTGTATTCATCCCAAGTCAATCTATTGTAGTCAGTTATAGCATGGTTTCCAGTTTCGTATTTTTCTCCACAGGGCCAACAATTTGTGTTTTCATGTGTATTTTGTCGATACTTTAATTTGATATAATGGTCTTGATGCATTTGTATCGGACTACAATGATAAGCAATTCTGTTTCACCTTTTAAGTGTACTCTGTCTATCTATATCTATTTGTCTGCGATAGTTTTCATCTTTTAAATTCTTCATTAAAATTAAATTCTTCTTTTCTACTTTTTCTTACCTTTTTGCATTCCTCATACGTTCTTGGTCCTTTAATTCTTCTTTTACTGTTACAAACATTTTTTAATGTTTGACTTATCAATTCTGAAAATTCCATTTGATAGAGTATAATTACTCAGCCTCTTTCCTTTCTGTTTATATTCAGTCTATTGCTATAATTTCTGATATAATCTTTGTATTGTAGATCTTTATACATTGTCATTAATTTATTGGTTCCCCTCGTTCCTCGAATATATCAATATTGATACTATACGTATGTTCCTCTCTTGTATCCAATTCCTCTATCATCGAATTAAATGTTTATCTCTTTTAATGGATAATTTTATGTTTTATTTTTAAATCCTTGCTTAATTCTTTCTACATTTCCTACTCTTTTATTAAGTCAAACTCACGTACCTCAAGATATTTGTTGCATTCATTAGCCGTAAATACCTGACACATTTTCTTATCTGGCAATTCAATTCAAACTGTTGTTACCAATTTACCTCGTGCATCACTATAATTACATCCTAATTATCTTTTTATTCTTCTTTCTGGAGTATTGAGATGATGTCTGTATTTAATGAGGCATTTGATGACTGACCAAAATAAACACTTGGCATTTGTTACTGTTGTTTTGGTCATTGGAGTTGGTTGATTTTTCACTTTTTTAAGAGAATCATCATCGCACTCAATATGAAAGTTGGGGTATTGACACCAAACATTAAATTCATTAAATCAATCAATTGTTAGCAAGTTTTGAGCATTTAATCTTAAAGATCTGAAAAAATGTACAGAAATGCCTAATGTTCGGAGGTTTTTGTTTACAAACTGACATTTTACTATTTCAAGAATAAATCCAATTAAAGTTCATATTTTTTAGTAAATTCATTAAATGGAAAATATATTGAAACTCACCACAAACAAAATATACAATTTTTTACTGTATTCCATAAGTGAAAACTGTGTAAAAATTGTAAAAGATTACAAAAAAAGGTCTAATCAATGAATAATATCTTACACCTTCTGTTAGGTCATAATTAATATAAACTAAAAATTAGATAAAAATCTATATGAGACAAAATGTTTTAAATTTGCATTGTTTATTGAAAATCACACTAAAAACAGCACTGTCTAACATATTGCATCATAATATAGCTAAATTTTTCAGTATAATTTCCCTTTGAAGTAAATGAAGTTTTTATTTGATCATACATTGAGTTAGTAATAATGTGCTTGTGCCTTGCTTCTTATCCATATAGAATGTATGAATCTTTAGTAGTTATTTTAACTGCTCTTTCCGCACCTCGTAGACTCCAACGTCGTTGCATTCATTAGAACTTCTGGTAGTTCATTATTTGTAAAAAAAAAAAAAAAAAAAACTCTGCAAATGTGTGTTCACAAACTCCATTTTGTAAGAAATTAATCAAATTTTACCAGTCGCTTCAGAGTTGATGAATGTCATTTTAAAAAGCACTTCTCTGGTGTCTCGCTACTTCTGAAACAAAAAATATTTTTATTGAAAAATTTACCCATCCTTGATTTTTGCGATGTAATTTGAACGTAATTTTAAAATTAGTTTTGTAAATTGTCATAACTAATTATGTATGAATACATTTTTACTTATCCAATAGACACAATTGTTTTATAGCCTCTTCTCTCGCCTCCAATTCATCTGAATTCAACATTGAGAAAAGAATATTTTCTGAAAACAGGGTGAAAGAATTTTGCTGTAATTTCTTTAATGTAGCCATCTGTATTTCACTCGAATGTTGCTTTATTCTCTGGATCATGTTGAAGACATACAGTTGTTGGTTATGAAATTTGTTATTCCTATTAATTTCAGACCTATAAACTGAATATATTTCAACTGTAAAGTTTATAAGGCTGTACTATAAGCTTTTCATTGATCAGCAGAATGAAATTCTAATGCTCTAAATATGAACCTAAAGTTAATTTTTAAAACTCGTTTCCTCAAAAAACAGTAACGACTTGGAAAGAAATATTTTACCTTATTATTTATCATGTCAAATTATCAAATTGAGGACAATACTAGGATTCTAAAATCGACACCAGCCCTAGTTGACATTGTCATGGCAGAATGGAAAGTAATAATAACTGTGTTGCTATACAAGAAATGTCCGATTAACAAATAACTGTTTTCTCTACATAACGTTAAATATTTTCAGCAAAATTTGACACAATCAATGTTGTGGCATTTTGCTGGCGAGCCTCTTTAAAAAATAACTGTTTTCTTAAAAAAAACTGTTTTCTCTACAAAATGTCAAATATTTTCAGCAGAATCTGCCGTAATTTATGTATAACGTTTTGCTGACCAGCTTCTTAAAAAAAAATTTAAATTGCAGTGTATGTGTGTGTGTTTGTGCGTATGTGTTTGCGCGTGTGTGTCTAAGTAACACCTCCGCTCCCACTTTTCCGATTTCAATGATTCATAGGTCATTTAAAAGCCCGAAAAAAGTGCAGGGAACTATTTTCATTGAGCTAAGATTCAGGGTTGCCAAATTATGTGAGGTTAAAAATATATATTAATATATTATACTAGCTGTTATTGTTGGTTTCATGAGTCAAGGAGAGGAACTCTTATTTGCCTTTTGTATCCAAAATTGCAGCTAACTTAAAATTTTAAGCTAGCGTAAATCGGCCCTATCGGGCTGCATTTAAGCTAGCTCCTATGGAGGATTCTTCGTTTGGCCATTATTACAATAGCGAGGGAGAAGTAGATGCGATAGTCATGAACAAACAACAGAAGAACTCAAAATTGGTCTCTGCATTTAAATATTGAATTAATGTCTAAGCTTAACTTTTAAAAGTTCAAAGATAATTCTTCTGCTGCTACTTAATTTAAAGACGATTTGATGTATGTAGATCCTTATTTTCCGTACAAAAAATATTTTTATTTTATGGGTGACATAAAATGGAAGATTATATAAGATTAAATTAATATAGTGTAAAGATAGGAAAATAGAAATTAGACTTAGTTATAAATCCAACATTTAAAGAGTTAAAGAAACATTTAAAGAGTAGAGAAACATAATAGCTAATTAAGTGAAACGTATATTATGGAATCTATATGAATAAATGCGAAATTGAAGCTCAACTTACACACGAATTCTGAGATTAAAAAGCCCCGGCTGTAGTGATTTGTCATTTACTCATCCCCACCACGGAGTCGCGTTGTGACACAAGGTGAGTTTAATATGGGGATCCCGAGCGCGCACAACTGGGCTAGGAACAATTGCGCTGACCTCGGTGCAAGCACCGATCTCTCTCTCTCTCTCTCTCTCTCTCTCTCTCTCTCTCTCTCTCTCTCTGGTGCAAAATCCAAATTTTTAAATGAAAGCTTTTAAAAAGCCTAACTAATTTCTTATTTTGTTAATTTCTTCTCTCAAGCATAAAAGTTGAAATATTCGAATTGATGGCAGCTGGACAGAAATATGGTAAGTAGTGAAATGCTCATATAGTTTATATCCTGATTACCTCAGCTCTGTTATTTGAATCCACGAGACGACATTATCTCTGTTACTAACAAGTAAAAACACCGCCTTACTTCTTACCAGAAGCCATTCGTTTTGGAAAGATTAATAAAATCAGATGCTGCGGATTTTAATATTTGGGGCTTGACCAAAAATTTATAGCGTTTTTAAATAAATTTCAAAGAAAATTTTCAGATATTCATAGATTCATTCAGTGTCATTTTGTTTCAATCCACTTTCACAGAAGTTGACATCATTTTGAGTGATGAATTTGTCTAAGTGGTTTTTACAGGTTCCCGAAGAATTGAAGTTCTTTCCATTAAGAGAATTCTTTCTGAGAATCGTGATAATGCAAAGCTTCAATGTCAGTTGAGTAAGGCAGATATAATACAGCCTCACAGGCAAATAACATCAACTGCCAGGTCCGCAAAGAGATGTGAGATCTGATTTTGTCCTGATGGAAGATAACACACATTCCGAATGACCAATATTCTGTATGCTTTTCTTTGGTTGCTACATTTAACTAGTTCAACTAGCAACAAATACTTGCCTGAATTCACCATCTTATTTTATAGAAGGACATCCTACAACACAATTCCAACCCGATACACAGCATTAACATCTTCGGTTGCAGACCGGTTTGCTGGGTATTTAAAGATGATTCATTGTTGTAAACAATACATTTTTATTGCGCTTGATGGATTTTTTCAAAAAAGGGTCCTTTTGTTGCTTTTGAGCAAATAATTTTAGATAGAATGTCTTTAGATGTCTTAGATGTTTCTGTTAAATGCCCAAACATATTAGCGATTCCTGTATCTAATTGGTTTCAAATGCCTTGCAAGGTTTATGTGAGATACACGTGCCTTGCAAGGCATTTGAATACTCATGTGGAGTACCTCTGCAATGACCTGTGTCGTGTGAACTGGATTATTTTTCATCGGCCTTTCTATTTGGCCATCGTCATCGTTTCCGCTCGTCAAGATCAAAATTAGCACTTCGAAACCAAGCGTGCCACTGACAATTAGTATTCTCATATATGGCGCTATCTCAAATAAAAAAAATTATATATTTTTTGGTGTTTATTTCTGGAAATAAAAGATCAAATTACGTAAGTTCATTATATTTGCTTCCATTTTTATTTTAATATAAAATTGTAAAGAAATACGCCTTGTATACAGAATATACATATCTGCCATAGATTCCAATCTTGTGGGAAACATGTTCAAAAAACAACTATTAAAAACGAATTATATTGATATTTTATTTGAAGTAATATCAGAAAAAGAAAGTGAAAGCCAATAAAGATTCTGTTGCTAATTGTGATGTTCTTTTAAAGGAAATCTTGTCATTTTTGCAGGTCAATATTAAATTTATTGCTCTTAAGATTAACAGTAATCTGACTAGTTCTCTTTCACGAAAGATCTAACAATGATGCCAACGACTTGTACTACTGCTGCAAAAATAATGGAGATGAGGATAATTATTAATACTGAATCGTAATTATATTTGGTTGAAATAGCGAATGATTGGCAGACTGGCTTCATAGAAACTGGTTCTACAATGAAATTTCCAAACAGAACACTCTTGTGCTTCCCCTGGGCAGCCATTAGCCGTTAAGAAATGTGTTCCTGGAATAATTATTCGTCGTTTAATGAGATAGCTGTGTTCAGGAAGAAAATATAGTGGCAGCTGTCAGCGGAAATGCGTGACAAACAGCCGATCCATGGAATATTGCCCTGTGCGTAAGTATCTGCGCGAAAGCACATGTACCTGAACATGTGTCCAGATAGTTCTGCGTCGGTGTTTGGGTAGATTACAGAATCACTACCATTCTAATATTAAGGGCGACACACTTTGATAGATGAAGTGATTCAACAAAGTTATTGATGCTACCTACTTTCTAAACTCTGGCTAAATAACCAAAGGAAATAATATTTCAATCCTATAATCATTCAGCTTTCACTTATAGATTCATAGATCATTCACAATATTTTTGTGTGGTATGTATGATTATACAGCTGAGCCTTGTTTGATATGAGTAAGTAGCTAAAGATGCATAAAGTTTGCCTTAAGGCATACCCAATAGAAATGGCACAAAGAAATCTAAAGCTGGACAAAGGTGTTTGATATAGGTCAAGCACCTGGATATTCATGAAAAAAAAAGAATGGGTTGCTCACCAGAATTACTTCTCATAACCATACTAACCTATAATTTACAGCTTAAGCCTGTCAGGTACCGAGATACCTTCGTCAAGTAATTCCTAAAGCAAACGACGTCCAGTAGGCTTGTGTGCCGGCCCAAAGCTATTTTTATCATTCTATATGACCATCACTATTACTGTCTAGGGAAGCTAATGGAAGACAGGGATAAAATCTATATCCACATGTTTAATGCCAGCAAAAATGTATAAACCACTTTTGTGTCTGGAGCGACAGTAACCGGTCGAAAGACACAAAAATTAGATTCTAAAAAGCCATCGTTCTGCTCAAACTGATACTATGTCATGGATCGCATGCTGACACTACCTACACTTAATCGAGCGCTTGATATTCCTTTCTTAGGTGCCTTGCGTGATGCAAGGCTTCAGTGATCATGAATTTTGTTTTTACTCATGTCTGATTTGACAGAATTACCATAGTAGGCCACTGTTACTTTTTGCAGTAGACTGATTACCAACCAAGCTTATAGAATCCTGTTATTTAACCAATAACTGGGGGAATAAAAGATTGGTCCATACGTTTACCAAGGGAATTTGTGCGTAAGTGAATGTAGTGAACTAGACTTGAATTCAAACTCCGTTCTCGGATTTCTGATTCCAAGCTTTTATCCATCACACCACCCGCACATCCAAACTTAATGCACCTGGTATTCCCAAGCGTCGCTCTTCTGTAGAGATAGCATGTCACTTTGAAATGGAACCTTTTCTCTTCTGGATTAAATCTCCAGTAGCAGAATCAAGCCACAAAATATAAAAGAGGAAACTTTACAAGGATGGGATTTAACTAGCTTTCAAAACCTCAATTGCAGTCGATATGCAGGCAAGGACTTACAATAGATGTGGAGGAACCCCAATCAACGTTCGTTCGTGAGGATAGACCGAATTACCATTATTGTCATGATCACTGGCAGTCATCAACTTTGACATCATTATTTCCTCTACACCCCTAAACAATTTACTCGCTTATATTTTTATATGTAATCTTTCTAAATTATTTTACATTATCAACTCTTAAAATTTGAAAAGAAGAAACAACATGGTACGGCATACACAACAACAAGCAAATGAATGATTTTGCTTTCCCTGGAATAAAATCGTTTTCATTCATTTTATTGATCAGGATAAAAGAAAGAAAGAAGAGAAAAAAGAAATCTTCAAGATTTTGAAGGAGAAATAAATTAAAAGAAGAATTTTGTTGATCAGTTCAAATATTTCACAATATTTCAGTAATGAATTCCAAGCGATTCTGCAGCTTTCTTTTATTAATTTCCACCCTATACAAGACCCAGTAACCACAGGTAGAGGGTTATTAAAAGAATTTATTTTATGAGCGATAAGAGTAAAATTTAAAAAAGCAGTTTATGAGAATACGTGGAAAAGATAACAGTTAATCTTGGACTGGAAGAGATTAAGATTGTAATAGTCATGAAAGTATTCTCTTAGGAGTCGGTTCCATAAGGTAACGGTTCGTCCTTCTTACTAATGAAATACAAATACAACTTGGTTTGTTCGACTCAGTGTATGTGACATGGCGAGACTTAACTGTGAAGTTAGGGTAAGGGAAACTAAGAAGTATTGCTCGTCTGAAAATTTCCCATGGAAATAATGATAGAGTAGTGAAAAGTTTGTAATATTTCATCTGTGGGAAATGGGTTGAAGGATGTCCTTGATAGGCAAAATTCCATGGGATCTGCTCCTTAACGATGACCTCCCTCCATCTTACTGTTAGAACCATGTCAAAAAGAGATCAGTTGTCAGATTTTGGTCATCAAAGTCTTTGGAGATGAACCCATACACCGTTGTATCATCTGCATGGATATTCACTAAAGACTAGAGTATGTCCTTATTTAAATCATTAATATAAAGCAAAAAGAAGGTAGGACTGAGAAGCAAGACTTTGCAGGACGACTATATTTTCTCATTGACATCAGAGGACCATTAACAACGACCTTCATGGACCTAACTGTTAGGATAAATTTTATAATTGAGAAAACTATTTCAGTCAAACCCTATGCCACACCTTAGCAAAGGCCTTCACTATATCAAAGGTGATCGACCTCGTGGTGTATTTGTTCTCTCGTGCTTCACTGATTCTGTGCGTAATGACAGGATATCAGCAGTGGACCTAGCGGAGTGAAATACATATTACTTGTCTTTCAGAATGTTGTCCCTCTTCAAGTGATCAACAGCATTCTTGTTGATGATAACCTCAAAATGTTTGCTGATGATACTAAGGAGGCTAATGGGTCGATACTGTAAAGGGGATGATCACTCACACACATTCATGAAAATAGAGCATACGCTTGACACATTCTTTAGCCATAAGAAGGATTTCTCCTTCAGGTGGCGGTTAATCAACAAGATTGAAGAAAACTAATTTTGGGTCAAGGCTTTTAATAAGTTTGAAACCTCCTGTGTCGTGATAGAGATGTAAAATTTGTCCTCCGTGAGAGGAGGTAAATCAGGAAGAGGGGGAAATTCATTACGAAGAGATTCACCTTATTTGAAAAGGGTGAGATCATTTATAATTGTGGGCACTGACACTTTGCCTCTGCTGAGAATTTTGTTGCCGATTTTCCAGAGCTCACAGGAGTCAAGTCTTTTGCTTTCGACTTTGGCT